TTTTAGATATTGATTGGTATAATAAGATGTTGCATATCTTTACAGGAGAGTCATTTCACAGCCTGGGATTTTCATATAGACTTGGAGAAAGAACAATTTCATCAATAGTGACAGAAACTTGTGATGCAATTTATCAGAATCTTAAGGATAGATATCTTAAGGTACATAACATTTTTTGTTTTCTACTTTTTGGTTTTCAATACAATATTTAATGTGCTAATTAAAACCAACTCACATAACATTGAAGAGTGCAGTGAAAGCAATATACTGTATGAATTTTAAAGATTAGAATTGTCCGTACGATGGCCCTTCACTCATATCTTGCTGGTCAAGTGACTGCCTGAAAGACTGCATTCTAGCATGTTGACCAGCATGATATGGGTTGTTGAATTCATTTGAGAAAGAGCCCATCTGTGCCTGAAAAAGAGCATTTTGAATGTTGTTCATTGCAACAAGTCTTGTTTTCTCATCCATCACAGACAAAGCATGTGTAACGTATTCCCCAAAGGCAGCTGAAGGGCTTGGCTTTGCATCCTTTTTTGCAGCTAAATTTTCATCTGCAGAGAAAGATGATGCAAGAGACTTCAGAATGGAGAGTTCTTCCTCTTCCTTTTTCTGCTTTGCAGTTTTGGATTTTTTAACAGCAGCCAGTGGCCTGCTTGTTGAAACTGGTGTCTCTGCAGCAGGGGCATCATTGTCGTCCAAGTCTCCATCACAGTCACTGTCACCAGTGTTAAGCTGTGGCTCAGATAAACTTTCAGTTGAAGACTAAAATTTAATATTTTTGTATTTTAGATTCCAAGCACATCTCATCAATGGAAAACAATCAGTGATGGTTTCTACAATTTATGGGACCATCCTTTTTGTGTTGGTGCATTAGATGGCAAACACATTGCAATCAAACAACCAAAAATGTCTGGATCAGAGTACTTCAACTACAAGGGATATTTCAGCATAGTCCTTCTAGCATTGGCAAGTTATGACTACAAGTTGATATTTGTTGATGTTGGTGCAAGTGGAAGAAATGGTGATGCTGGACTTTTTGAAACATCGCCTCTAAATCAACAGATGAAAGACAAATCAATTGCCTTTCCAGAAGCTGAGCAAATTTGGGGAAACATGCATCAAATGTCATTATCATATCATTGGTGATGATGCATTTCCCTTGAGAAATGATATCATGAAACCATTCCCATTTAGACAACTGTTACATGAACAGCACATTTTCAACTACAGGCTTTCTAGAGCACGACGGGTTGTCGAAAACGCTTTTGGTATCATGGCTAATAGGTTCAGGGTGATGCTGACAAAGATTATGTTGGAGCCTGAAAAGGCTAAGCAAATTGTGCTGGCAATTTGTTGTCTGCACAACATGCTGATTGATGAGCAGCCTTCATATAAAAATGCATGTGACAGTGAAAGAGACAACCATGAGCTTTTTCAAGGCAGCTGGAGATTAGACAAATCTCTAACTGAGTTACAGAAGACAAAAAACAGAAACTGTTCATTAAGTGCTAAGGGTCAGCGTGAGCTTTTGAAACAATATTTTTGCTCAACATCTGGATCAGTATCATGGCAAGATAGTATGGTTGCAACAAAAAATAATGAACTCAACTAGCTAGTGTTGTATTGTACCTGCAAATTAGAAATAGACACTCTGTTGGATACATATGGGCTTAAAAATTGAAGGCGGTCTTCTATCCATTGAGTCTTCTTCGTCTTTTTTGGTCGTGCACTTCCACTGCTTGGGATTCTGCGGGAGCGTGCATATTGCGTGCGCAGAGATGCGATTCTTTTTTTTACTTGATTCACTAGAATGAATAAAACATGAATTCGTACAGCAATGTTTCACTTCAAATTGAGTAGGCCTAAGAAAAGAGGACTAGCCTAGCTAGCTAGTCAAAATTATTCACTCACCGTTTGAAGAAAGTTTAGTTGCAATTTCGTTCAGGGCTGCTAGCTTCTTGTTTCTGTCTGAATATTCTGGAGACGTAACCATATACAGACAAGCCTTTTCTTGCCACAGATCGACAAGCTGCTCCTCTTTGCTTGCTGTCCATATACCGACTTCGTCTTCTGTATTCTCCATGGCGTTCTCGATCTTTTTTCTTTTGGCGGGAAAGAAAGGCTCCACAGAATTCACGTGACCATATAATCCAAGTTTTATTGGTTTAAAAATTAAAAACTTGTCTTTCGACCCCGCACATTGCACGATTTTTGTCTTTCGTCGTAAAAGACAAAGACAAATATCAAACATTTTTGATCTCAAAGATAATCGTAAAAGACAAAAATCTTTGCGATTTTGCCCCGCACACTACAGATTTTCGTCTTTTGAGACAAAAATCTTCGTCTTTTGCGACAAAAATCTGCTGTGTGCGCTAGGCTTTAATTAGGTTACTTCCAGTCACAAGCTGGGAAGGTGCAACGGCAAATTAAAGACTTTATAGTCTAGCAAAATGGTAGGACATGATCGAATTTGTCGCTAGGGGCCTTCCGGTCCTGGGTGGGGTGTCATGTTCATTTCATTTCACGTTACCGAGGGCTTGGTGAATTCACGGACTACGCAGGAGCCACAGCCTTCACGGTACACTGATCACAAAGGGCAACCTGCCAAACACGCACACGTTTATTGATTTATCACCACGATCCTTCATCACTTGCTTCGCACTTCTGCGTTCGTGGATTACGGAACGTGAGAAACCAGAGAAGATAAATTGTTTAGTATTTTTTACCTTCAGGCTACTTCAAGATAGAAGCTTTCTTGGAAAATATTAGGTCGGTTAGTGACCGTGCGATGAAGCCTGAAAGCGCGATCCCGTGTTCTGAGATGGAAGGCAAGACAACACGACCTCTCAGGCACGCTGCTAAAAAGTCCAGCATAAGTTTGAAATGCCACAGTTGTCAAAGACGATTTCCTTCATTTGTCCGACTTCAGAGGCATTTAAGCTTAGTACACAAAAGCTCTGGAAAGCTTTTCTGGTGCAGCAAATGTAGTTTGGCGTTCAATGAAATCTCGCTGTTCGTGCGACATTCCCGCATATGCCGCCAAGATGTCGATCAAGGCGACACAGGCCCACACGAAACGCCCCACTCGTCCACAAACGCAGTCAGGCATTGCAAGGAAGATGCGCCTGGTCAAAAGACTATAAAGGAAAGTGAATGTTCTGGAAATGCAAGTGAAAATGATGTAGCAATTTCTTCAGATTGCGGAGACAGTAAGTGATATTTGTTTCATGTTTCATGTTGCTATTTGCGTTATACCTAGGCCTTAGTGTGGCCTAATTGAGTGGATGCCGTGATTGTGAAGCTTCTAGATAAATGATTTGCTGATGTGCACGAAAATTTTCAATTCTCCTAAATTAGAATATATTGCTTTTTGAATAGCTAATGCTATCTCGGAAGGTATTGGGTGGGAATTCTCAATTTAAATGACAGAACACGCGCTGACAATCGAAACTCTCTAATGAAATGAACTCAATCGTGTTATCACGGTAAATGTTTGTGTATGTAAACGTTAAAAACTTGCTATTCTCTACGCCTACCATCACTGCAGTATGAAGTTAGCAAGGTTAGGTAAAGCCTTAACATATGATGGAATAATAACGTGACACACAGTTATTGTCACAACTACACAATTTCTTCTAAAAACCAATCAATTGTCGGAAACAAAACCTAAGATATTACTGTTAAAAAAGGAAAATAACAAAATAGAGTTCCCTTTGGGCAACCAAATGCAAATTTTATACATTGGAAGAAAATCAGGAATCATGGTAGAATGTAGTTTCTGTTAGGGCAGTTTATGAGAGAAAGCAATTTATTTTCTAGTTAGAATTTTCTGGAAATTAGGGATCCTCTGGTTCAATATGGCACGCTTAAATTTTAAAGGCCATTCAATATAAGCCTCATCTCAATAGCCATTTCCAAATAAATTGTGGCATTCTCAGTGACAATAAATTGTGGCAATGAATTGTGTTATATATGAAGTTTTTCCAAAACATATTTGTATTTTTATTCTTTATTTGTCTTTTTTTAAAGTTTTCACTAGCTGTCTTTGTCCTTCTTGTAAAGCTGAATTCAAGCACAACTTTTTCTACAATTGCATCTTATAGTCACCAGTACTTTTATAAGTATCTTATCAGCCAGTTTTTGTTCCTAATGAAACTACTTCCTGCTACACCCAGGCCATAAATTTTGTAAAAATACTATCCTTGGCCCAGTATACAGCATATTATAGGCAGAGACGTAAAGTCTGTACAGTGCTGAACCCTGCTGAATGCAGAAATTCAAATTGCAATTGCTCGATCATGAGGAGCTTGTAGATGAAGTCCAAGGGGCTGAGGGTAGGAGTCATGGTATCAACCTCAGTGAGGTAATCACCAGCTTCTGTAGTTCTCGGTGTAGGGATCACATGGTTTAGCCACAATGTATGATGGAACCAGGACAATGCTGGATAAGCACAGCTTATTCGGCCTAAACACTACCTTTGGTGCCAGTTGTGTAGTGGAGGACTAACATGGCATAACACAGTTACACTTCCTAAAATGTTTGAGCTGCAGCATTATACTACCTACCCAAGTAGTGTTACGCTTCTTAAATATCAGTATCATACTAGATATAAGTACAAATAGCCAGTCTTTGATAAGACAATTTATCAAATAAATTGGCTAGGCTTTCAATACTTGTCTCAAAAAAGTTCAAATAAGTATGAAAGTGATTAAAGTCACATGAATAAATCACAGTTGGATTTTGGACATTTGCTTATGTAAATTGGGCATGTGTAGTTTGAAGATTATATTTTTCGTGATTATATGCAGTACCATAGAAAGGATATTTATCATTGGTCAAAATAGAGAGAAAGATCATATAAGAAGTTAATGATATTGTTACCTAGGTGATCTACTTATATATAAAAATGAGACAAATAAGAAAATTGGCTGAAGAACTATAGAATATTTTTTTAAAGGCACCAACAAATTTGTGCTATTTGAGAGAAAAGGTTGAGGCACTAACTGTGTTGGTGGGTGTACAAGTTGAAAATTGACCTAGGAAATTAGGGGTGTACCGGATCAGGATTTTCAGAATCCGGCCGGAACCGGATTTACCGGATTTCTTCGTGGAATATCCGGCCGGATTCTACCGGATAATCTGACCATTTATAGAATTTTCAGTAATAAAATGTTTTGAGCCACTTTGCGAAAAAATGTATAGCGAGAAGATCAAAGAGACCTATTCAGGGTTGCCAGATTGAATTTACAAACGAAGCCTAGACTGGTGAGCAATTTAAGCCAAAATGCTCATAAAAAGGCCAAATCAAAAACTCTCTCAAGAATCCATTGAGCAGGCACTTGTTATATTTCTACGCTTGTGCCTGTTAGATAATTTCTTAGCTTTGATAAGAATCTTACTTTTTTCCAAAACCCTTTGCTAATATCAAGATAATATTTAGGTTAAGTGATAAAATTTGAAATTTGGTTAACACTTTGTAGTTAACTACTAAATTTTCCATGAATGTAGTAATTACTTATTAATTTTAGACGTTCTGCTGAAAAGGCCAACAAGGTCAAATTTAAGTAGTAAGCAAAAAACAATTTTTCCAGGCAATCTAAATCTAAAAACCAAAAATGAAAAATTTGGCCTAAAAAGCCGATCTGGCAACCCTGGACCAAATTTGTGAATTATATCATCCAGTTATGCCTGTTTCGTGATGACAGCACTTTCATTTCAAATCTGTTTTCAAGGCGCTTGTTTTATCGTCGATATTGTTTAGTTCTGGAAAATCCATTTTTAATCACTGTATGAAGGGAGTCTGACTTGGTTTTCCAAATTTTCTTAGTTATGATTAAAGTTCTGGAAAATCCGGCAACTGGCCGGATTTCGAAAACAAATCCGGCCGGAACCGGATTTTCAAAAAATCAGCGATCCGGCGCCGGATTATCCGGCCTACTGGATGTCCGGTACATCCCTATAGGAAATCTTCTATAATTTGTCCTTTCTGCCAAGGCTTGGTCCAGTAGGTCCTTTCGTTGTTCTGAGTTGATTTTTCATCAGTGCACAGGCTTATAAATTCTAGCAACAGCTTCCCTGTTTTCTCTGCTCATGACTTGAATCAGTGGAACTTCTCGACTATTCTTCACTATTGATGTAATAAGAGAAGAATTTCGTAGCAAATAATGCAAATTTCTGTGAAGTCAGTGGCGAATAAAATGCTAGCCAAAACAGTAAGTACTTCATGTGCTTCTACTGCATAGCATGATTTGTTGGTGCATTTAAAAATTGCATCACAGATATTTCCATTTGATCACCAGTCAAATGAAATTATGATGCCCAAATATCAGGCAATTCAAAGGCAACTTCAAGCAACTTGTAAGGTTCTTTACACTAGGGGGCAGCAGTAGCTGGGGGTGTATCTTTGAAAACAGTTTTATCTTCTTTAATCTGCACCAGCGTTAATCTAATCCATTTGAAACATGTGATTCTGCATCTCCAGGGGGCTAGCAACAGCCTCGTAACCAGTCTGTTTCACTTGAATCACTTGATGGCAGATTTTTCCAAATTTTTCAAATGACATCCCATCAAGGCTGAGTTCTAGAATGGTATGATAATTTTCTGAAATATTTTTTCAGTAAATAAACCAGAATTATACTTACTTGAAAAAGTTGAAAGCTAGAACTTCACAGCTCAAAGTGGCAGTCAAACATGAGCAGGGCTGTGATACAGTAAATCCCTGCATATAAGAACCTACTTTTTTGAGGTTCAGGCTAAAGAAGGTTCTTGTTGGAAAAGTACTTGGATTAATTTCAGGGTATGAAGGTTCTTATTCCAAGGATCCCTTATTTAAGAATTTAGGATTCATTATCAAGAGATGCATTCAACCCTGTTTTGCCTTTTTGGACTCCATCTCACTATCCAAATACATATGGATGTATGGTACAATTATAGTTGTAAGTTTAAGGCCTAAGGCTTTAACAAAGTTTATAATTTTATCTAGAATATTTTATGATTTACCTAGATGTTCACAGCAACAGAGTCTTGTAATCTGTAACAATTGATTTGAGAAATGAGAGAGTTGATTCCTATAAGGTAGTCACTAATGTTGATAAGACTTTTGTTCACAAATTAAGTAATTATAGCTAAAATAGATATAGCATATTTACTTTACTAATTACTTAAATTCGTATTGAACAACACACAATGAAACGTTGAAACGTTGTTTGTTCATTCTTTTAATTTCCAAGAGCCCTTGCTCAAGCAATGTGAATTTAATAACTGCTGATTGGGGTGCTCTATCCAGATGTTTTTTTACATTTGTCATAGTCAGAGTCTGTTTTTCATGAATTTACAATTTTGTATAATCTTGTAATATTTTCTCTTTTCTAGACTGCAAAGAAGCTGTAACCCCAAGCGATGAAATTAAAGAAAAGCAAGATGTCTTGGATAGCGAGAGTCTTGCAGCTGTCTCTGCTGCTTCTCTGACACCAAAGGCTGCTGTTTCATCTCATTTAGATTGTAACAAAAGCACGTATGCTCAGGCTGAAAGGTCTATTGGTAATGGAAAACTGGTTGGCAGTCAGACTTCATTAAGTGAGCAAGGAAGGAGCCTGACTGAAAGAGAATATGACCAAAACTTCATGACAGGCTCGTTACTCGCTGGCCACCCAACAATGGCAAACATCGGTAAGACAATGAATTTGAGGTCTGACTCACCTTTTTCACCCAAAGCCTATCTAGACAGAACACAACGGACTACAAGGAAGCATACTACACCACGGAGAAACCTAAAACTTGCCCGCCACATGAGAAAACCGATTGCTAGCCCAAAAAAACAAGTACCCAGTAATCATCGACTTTCTTCAACTGTATGCAGCAAAACCCAGGATGATATGAATATAAGCATTCCAGCGACAGTGAGGACTGTGAATTTAATGACATCCGTGGCTGAGGATAATGATTCTGAAGCAAAAGAAGAGAGAGCAGAGATTTTGTCCTATTTACGAACAGTGACAGCGAAGTTAGATGCTGTCATACGGCATTTTAATGTTCCTTTTTCGGACTTTGGCACCGGTATGCTCTCATCTCCGCTAAACAGCGGACATAGAATTGGCCAGATCCAACGGATACGAAGCAAAGAGCCAGATTTTAGTCAAGAACAAGCTAGCGCACAGAACCATTATCCTCCAAAATCACCCAACCAGCAATCTTGTTCATCATCTGTAACTGGAAGCAACAATAGGAGCATTGATCGATTTCCGGCAGCCATTCAACCCGAACTTGAACGTCACGTGAAAGAGAGAGATTTTGAGCAGGAAACGCCAATCTCTAGTGATGATTTTTCTGAGCAGATACCGTCTCCTTCTTCTGGTTGTCAGATAGTCGAGACGGTGACATATGATACAGCCCGAATTGCACTGCCTGAAGAAGTTGTTCAAGACCTTCACTCCAAAAGTTTAAATCGTGGCAATTTCGCGAAGCACTTAGTATTTAGTTTGTTCTCCCCTGACGAAAGAAGAGGGAAGAACTGCTTTGGTAGAAGAGCTGGCTTACAAAGTGGTCCTAAAGCGCCACTTGATCCGATTAGGCTCCAGTTTGTGAGGGATAAAGTTTTTCATTATTATCCATGTGAGCCTGGTCTTGAAGAGACTATCTGGAGACGGCAGTGTGTCATTGCAGTGGATACAGCGTTACGCGGTGAAAACAGGCCACACAAGAAGATTGGTGAGAGCTTTTCAAGACAGTTCTGCGGAAATACACCGTAGCAGTAAGGGTTTCTCCTTATATCTCCCTCAGCTAGGAAGATAAAGTGCTCCTATCCTATTCCATACGCGAATTTTTATGGATGTGACATCACTTAACATGGTTTCTACGAAATTTGTACATACACTGAAAACTTCTGTTTTGTTATCCGTTATCCGTGACATCACTTAACATGGTTTCTACGAAATTTGTACATACACTGAAAACTTCTGTTTTGTTATCCGTTTTTTATATACCATGCATCCTCTGCCGTCTCTCTCTTTCTACTAAAATTTATGGCTGTATGCATCATTTTTTGAGTATTTATAATGACAGCAGATAGAGCGAGAATCTCGTGGTTTCCCGGTCAGCAGCGCGTTGATATTGTGTTTAAACCAGGGTTTATTATAATGTGCAGTGATAACCAATTTGTACGGGGATAAATCGTAGTTTTGCAGTGAAAAAAATTAAATTTTGTGCAATGATAAAACTGAAAAAAGAGTTTTGGTATAAAAAAGTAAAATTGCAGCAACTACCAGTAGACATTTAAAAAGAGCATTAAAGTATTAAAAACAAGAACATAACAGTACCAATCATCGTAATCTTTTGAATCTCTCTAAAATTTGTTCAGGATCTAGAAGCTTTCTAGTTCTTTCGCTCTTTATCTTCTCCTTTGAGACCTTTTTTTCTCGAGAACATGTTTAAGCCTAGACAACTTTTCCTTGTCGAAATCTCTCGTAAGGCTTTGATGTGTGTTTCTAAAGTTTCACATACAGTTATTTTGATAGGTGTGGTCATACAAATTTGAATGGCAAACTCAAATCTTTAAAAATTTTGATTATGTGCAGTGATAAAAATTTCTTAAAATAAACATTGGTTTATAACCAGCATTAGTATTTCTGAAAGTAATCATTGTGACGTAGGAAGTATATTTATATTTTTGTATCTTTTTATTTTGCTTTATCAAAGATTTAGTTGTTGTTTGCAAACAATTTCGATTGTTATGTTAAGCCTTAAGATATTTCCATCAACAGAATATTTGTTGGAGGAGATAGAGTGGGTCGTTTTCGAATTTGTTCACAATTTTTAACGCGTTGTTTTTCTTATACTGTCATTTCCAGAATTGGCAGGATGGTTGGAATTAGATATAAGGCCTTCATGAGCCTTTGTTTCGCTACTGCCTCAATTTACGTCCGTTTAGGCTGGAATACTTCTAGTGGGTTAAAGAATTCCTGATTGAAAGATAGAATGAGGTTTAGAATAAGCAATGTGGCTGGACTTTTAGGTAGAAATTTAAAAACCAATTGGGTTGAGAATTATAAAAATTGAGGTGCTCTCCTTTATTGACAGTATTTTGTATGAGTATCCTAGGAGCATTCAAAGAACGTAAGACGTTTAAACATTTAAGTTAATACAATTTCCCTTCCTCTTTATTAAAATTCAATAAGCGCCCTAATCCTGTTTTTTCGAGAGTTGAGAGAATTGATCAACGACAACTGTTGTTTACTTATGGTGATATAACTATGATTGTTCTATATTGATCACATAGATCTGTTATAATATGGAACGCTTATTTTCAGTAACGTTTGTACCTAGTCTTACTTTTATATGAGCTGTCTATATCATTCTTTTCTTCTCCAGAAAAATCAATTTAAATTCCTTTTCTTGATTTATCAACAAAAGCCACGCATTTCATCCCTAAATTTAACTTGTAGCTAATTGAATTTATTCACTTGAATTTTATTCATCTAGAGTGTAGTTTATGTTTTTTGAGTTTAATTGTGGATTACATTTTGAATTGCATTTTGAATTGCATTTTGAATTGCATTTTATTTGGCATGCTTTTTGTAAGCTACTTATTCTAGAAAATTGTGCAATGTTAAGATAGCATTGGATGTGACACTCATTTTCGTCAAGGGATTGTTCTGTACTTTAAATTGTTGATAAGCTCGAAAACTTTTGTAAAACTCACCTTTAATTATCAGATTTGCCAGAACGAAGAAATATGAAAGAAGTATAAAAACCGAGGCAAGAAAGTAAAAGTGATCGTAGACAAAAACCTTTCTGCCGCAAGTAAAACACCACTATCGACGAAATAAAGCATAATTCGGTCTTTAAAATATGCACCTTTCAGACTTTGGCTACATGTAAAATATTTGCATCTTTGCAATCGTGTCCGGCGTGAGAAAGTTAACAAAATTGTTAAAACTTTCAGCTGAACGGGCTTAATATGTAGCGCACTGAATTAATGTTGTCATCCGTTGGCTTCCACTTGCTCCAATACGAGGAAGTAATAATTATTGAAATTAGTTGAAGGAGGTGAGCAACTAACTTTGTCTAAGTTCTTAGACTATTTAGGAATAATGGGGTGTTTATTTTGGATCTTAGTCTATCAAGAGTTGGCACTCTGGTATTGAAGACAAATGGAGTTGTAGAATCCCAGGCATTTTTATAAGCCCCCCCTTCGAATAAGCCCTTATCTATAAACTGCCTGAAAAATTAGCCCCCAAGGATGTTAGTTTGAGGATAGCCACCAATGGGCCACCAAAAGTTGGCCAAACTAACGGGGTGGCCGTATTGACGAGGAAGGGTCAAATTTTGGAGTTTAAAGGGCAGAAATTGGAACTGTTCTGCTAAATAGACATCTGGAAATGCAGATAAAGTTGTAAAAAAATATGTTAAATAACTAGTCCACAAACAAAATGAAACGGAAGTCCTGGGTTCTTGGGCCTTGATCACCAAGTCATGTTCGTGATTTTGCAAAAAATTGGTGACTTTTGACTGGTTCGTTCTGCGTTCCAGTCAAATGCTGACAGGAGGAAAATTCTTTCCACAAGGGTGCTGCCCAATTGTATCGAACCACTCTCGGTCGGAATCGAATTCCAGTTTGCTGCTTCAAAGACCCCCGCCACACACAGCTATTCTGTGCCCCTGCTCATTCCATTGAGCCAAACGGCCCAATGAAATGAGCGATGAATCGATGAATCTCCGAAGCCAACACTGGAGATCCTTCTCGTTTCCCTGTGATTAGTGTGCCGATTTCTATTGCTTGGGGCCACGAAATGATGATGACTCAACATCGTCAGCAAGCCAATTGCCAGAAGGGAAGTTGGGACAGCTTTTGGCAGAAACAATTGACCCTTTGTGGCATCATTTAATTCAAGATACGGATATAGTGAAAGTTTTGATTGGTAGAAATGTATTGCTATTGTCAATTCTGTCATTGTTTTTCTTTGCACATAAGGGTCCTGTGCGCCTACCTTGAAGCTACCTCCGCACGCACTCTAATTACTGAAAATCCAAACTGAATCCTAAATGCATCCAGGTAATACTGTTAATAGAACTAAAATAAAGCCACATTACGCACCTTTTATGGTTTGACTTCAAAAAGCAAAAGCTCTGTAGAGGACTTTTACAGACAAGCTATCTAATAGTTTAATAGCCCGAGCCTTACTTACTACCGATACCTAAAGTCAGGGGTCTGGAACTCAGGCTAATAGCTTAAAGTGCCTGTCTACCTGAAATCTTTTATGACGTTTATCGAAATGATTCTAGACATACATTACGTAAATCGAAACTATTTCGCAATTGGACTTATAGTTTTTGTTTTCTAAAGCGTCAAAGTTGTAAATATTGACGCATTACGTAACCGTAGGGGTTAATGAACCGGAGTCAAGGGAGGTACGTCCTATTTTTAGTAAAGCGCACATTGTTTTACTGGTTCCCTCTTAAAACTTGTAGAGGAGGCCCTTATTTTTCTAGGAACCATTTTGCCTCTCTAGCTCTTCCCTGGGAAGGGAAGGGGGGTTGTCCGAGTGCTCTGAAATATAGTCTGTGCTTAAAAAAATACAAAGCAGGCAGATAAAGTTCATCACTGACTCTAGACGGACCTGTCAATTAAGAATTTCACCGCATCTCTTTTTTTTAAACAAATAAACGAATTTTGTGTACAAAGAAAATTTACATATTTCGTATTCATAACCGTCTTCAACAGCATTTAAGAGTACCAGTATTCTTCGGACACAGCGACAGGATACCTACCTTTTCCTTTTGACTCGAGGAAACACAATACATCTTCAAGGCAAGATATCGCCTCACGATACAAATGGCCGTTTTAACGGGGTGGAATTATAAAGAATCCGGCAGTTGGGGATCGCATGTATGGCCATTTTTCCGGACCAAACAAATGTAGCCGTAATAACGAGGTGGGCGTATTAACCTTTCACCCTGCATCCGTATGGTGGCCCTGACCACTCCGACCTTTGACGCTATGCAGGAGCCTAGGCCTAATGTGTATCTAGATCTAGGCAGGCCTAGTTCAGTTCACTGAACAGTAATTTTGTGCTTGAATCACCTGTGTGTTGATGCTAGATGCTAAGTTTCCGTCTCCTGAAGCTTGAAGGAGCAAGAAGGTTTGATTTTTTTTTGTTCTGTAACAATTTAATTAAGAACAACTCTTTAAGGAAAATTGAGAAAAGTCCTTTTGGAAAAATTGAGAACAGTAACGTAGCCAGGGTAGAATCAAAAGGGCAACGGAGAGTTCAGCGAGGGATAAATGGGGGTTCACACTCTTTGAAACGCCCAAAGAGATTTGATGCCATTGGGGGAGGTCTGCTTCCTCTTGCCTCTCACTACGCAATTGACAACAAGAGAGTGACTGTAGACAGTGTAGTGCAGTGTGTAGTGCTGTCACAATAACAAGTGGGGTTCTTGCACAAAATTTTGTGAAAAACAATATCAATAATCAAGAGTAGCAATTTTCCAATTTTCGACATTAGCAAGGGATGCTCAGCCCCCCTAGCACTACCCCCTTGTGTAGTGGCAGATATTTGAGAAACAAGAATTTGACAAAGCTTTCTTTATGGGTATGGTCCCAAATTTACTGGCAATGCCCTGACTTTTGTTTTGCCCAAAGTTGGCAACAACTATTTTCTCGTTTGACAAGAGTCACTATAAACCAGAGTTTCATGCTATATATTGTTCCAAAGGATTGCACAATAAACAAGCCAGCATGGGCTCTGACAAAGGTTGAAAAGTGGGGAGGGGGGCAAGGGAAAATTTAACACTCATAACAAAAGATTTTGAAAAAAACTCTATGGCCCCCTGCCCCCCTTCGTCAGAGGCCCTGGCCAGTATGCAGAAGTGTTGCGGTGGCCCACCCAAGATGCAGACATTGAATCTTTGAGGATGCGCCTAAAAACAAGCTTTATAGAATTCAAACATAGAAAAGTTGATAGTTTGGCACAGCATTCTTGGGCAAAGTTTTGGCATCCACACTTGTGGTGCAGGGCTGTTGGTGTAACAGAGATCTTGTCAAACTGGTAAACAAAAGAGATCTCTGCAAACTGGTAAACAAGGCATAATGATTACATATTCAACAAGTTTGTCATTAAAGGATAGCAATAGTTTTAGCATCTTATCTTATAAAGTAATGAGCCTAGGCATTCAAAGTACAAACTAGGACAAATCAAATCATCTTATCTCATTTTCTAAAATTTCTAATTTTATAAAGTTGTTACTCGTCCTAGTTTGTTGTTTCAGAGTTATAAAAACTTTGCATCTCCAAATGAAAATGTTTTCAAAATTCCTGTTTTTATTAACAAAAGAACAGTTTACAAGACTTTTTTGAAAAGTTATCTTGGTTATAAAAAATCCATAGCCTCAATACTTTTTTCGTGATTTTCTAAATTGATTATTTCATGTTTAATGGTGAAAGCAAGCTGTTGTCATAGTGTGGTTATTTTGATATTGTGAAAACAGGACACCTGTAAAGTAAGCAGTTCCAATGTCTTTGCAAAATGGGTTCCAAGAGGGTACCTTTGTTTGCTGCTTAAAACAATGAATAACAATTGATTGAACTAGCCTAGATAGTGTTCCTTTCTTTAAAAATACAACAGGGTTCCTCTCTTTAGAGAAA